GAGTCCTTCAACCAGTGCATGTATAAACAAATTACAGGACATCTAGCAAGAGAATACTACCTAGCGATTAAAAAAAATGACTATTGATACTTCCAACAAAGAAGGCTCTCAATCATGAAAAGAAACCAGACTCTCAGGACTTCGACCAAAAAACAGCATGTACTGTAAGGTTCTTTTTAGATAAGCTAGGAAATGCAAACTTATCTACAGTGACATCTATCATGACAGAGAGCAAATGAGTGGTTGCCTGGAAGAGAGCAGGAAGAGGGATTATAAAACAGCAAAAGGAAATTTGGGGGATACAGATATGTTCACTTGGGGGAACGTACCTTGATTGTGGTGATGGTTTTACCCGTATATATGTCAAGCACATCAAACTACACACTTTAAATATGTGCAGCTTACTATACGACAGTTACAGACATAACATGGTGATATTCCTGGTTCAGCTCCACACCACCACAATAAAGTAATTATCACAATGAAGTGAATCACATGAATTTTTGGTTCTCCAGTGCATATAAAAGTCATGTTTAAGACCAGGGACTTGGAGCAGTTCAGAGGGGTGAATAATAGCTATGCAAGTCTGCAATAAAAAAAATGGCCTCAAATAAGACTACTACATTGCAAAAAATGGGAAAGAGAATGAAAAAAGTAAAAAAGTAGAAGAGGCAGAGTCTGAAGAATTTGTGGTGGAAAAAGTACTGGACCGACGTGTAGTGAATGGGAAGCATTTTATAACCATGGATAAACCTGTGTTTCTGGGATACTATCATTTTCAGTAACTTAAGAAATAAAACACTTAAAGGGTGCCTGGGTGGCTCAGCCAGGTAAGCGTTTGCCTTGGGCTCAGGTCATGATCCTGGGATTGAGCCCTGCGTCGGGCTCCCTGATCAGTGGGAGATCTGCTTCTCCCTCTCCCTCTGTGCTAAGTAAATAAATAAAATCTTTAAAAATAAAAAAATTTTTAAAAAAGAAATAATTTAAAATTAAATTGAAATTTTTCCTGAAGCCCTAACCTTTCACGTTTTGTAATTAATTGGACAATTAAAATATTATGTAAACAATTTAAATTGGGCAATTTAAAATAAGCCACATCAGAATACATATGCATATCTATAGTCATATAAATGCAAGTTTATTTGCAAGATCCCTGAAAGGAAAATTTTATCGCCACCAACAACCTCCCCACTCAAATGACAAAACTAGACCTTAGGTAAGCAAAACTTAAATGGACAAACTTAAATGGACATTGAAAGGTTCCTTCTAGTGAACCATTCCTTTTCAAGAAGTTGAAATCCCTGTGCTGTACTGCCTAAAAGGTCATGATTCATGGAATAGCTAAGACTTTGTTCATGGAAACCTAATCATAATCAGATGGGTAGAGATACCGGCAATTTAGCACCTGCTAGAATAAACGGGTGGACAGACTTCTATAATCTGAATTCTTGGCCTGCATGTTTTTTCTTTATCCCAACTTATTCCTTTTTTTTTTTTTTAGATTTTATTTATTTATTTGAAAGAGAGAGTGAGAGAGAGAGGGCGGGCACAGCCGGGGAAGGGGCAGAGGGAGAGGGAGAAGCAGACTCCTCTGCTGAGCAGGGAGCCTGATGTGGGGCCCGATCCGAGGACCGCAGGATCATGACCTGAGCCCAGGGCAGATGCTTAACCACTGAGCCACCCAGGCGTCCCTACCCCAGCTTATTCCTGACATGTAGTCTCAATCTTCTCAGTATTTGAGTTGCTGGTTCAGCAGAACCAGGAAAAACAGTAACTTTGTAGTCAGAATATTATCCATCTGTATGCTGTTTATTGTAAATACTAGTAAACAGTGGTCAATAAAGTTTTATATTCCTTAAAAAAAAAATGATGTTTAAGTTTTACCATATAGTCTATTAAATGTGGCCCAGCATTATGTATAAAAAAAAACAATGTATATACCTTAATTAAAAAAACCTTATCGCTAAAAAGTGTTAACCTTCACCTGAGCTTTCAGCAAGCTGAAATCAATGATCACAGAGCACCGTAACAAATATAATGAAAAAGTTTGAAATACTGTGAGAATTACCAAAATATAACACAGAGACATGAAGCAAGCAAATGCTGTTAGAAAAATGGCACCAAAAGACTTGCTCAGCGCAGGGTTGCCCTGAACCTTCAATATGTTAAAAAAAAAAAAAAAAAAAAAAACAATATCTGCAAAGCACAATAAAGCAAGATATGTCTATATTCCTCAATAAGGCTATTTAAAAAGACCATTTTTTAAAAAAAATCTGTCTTCCTAGTACATTTAGACCACCTGCCTCTCTTCCCAACCGGTACATGTCCTAAAGTCATGGAACTGTGATACCTTTTCCCTTAGTGATTTTCATGAATGAACAAAACTTTAATAACCCAAAGATTTAATTATAATAACAAAAAACAATGATTAATATGTACATAGGTGTGATCATGCGCCAGGCATTGTTTTAAGCACTTTTCTTTTATTAACTTACTTAACCCTCTTATCAACCCTATTTTACAGATGAAAAGATGGAAGCACAGAGAGTTAAGTAATCCGTTCAAGGTCACTCGGCTAGTACCTGGAGGAGCTAGGATCTGAACCCAGGGAATATGGCTCTGAAGTTTATTTCCTTACCCATTGTGTTCTACTGGCACACACAATATAAGATACAATATGTGAAGATCAAAAGCAATACATATTATACTTACACAAAACTTCAGTATTTGCTGCATTTTGAAAAACTCACATGAGGCTAAATAAAAAAACAACACAACCTTCATTCTTTTCCAAATTACTAGGTGGAAAAAGGACAAGAAAAGCTGGACAACTTACTGAGCACAGAATAAATAAATGGCAAGCTGACTGGTTCCTGGGAAGCTAGTTCACTACATTTCCAGTCCAATTCTCTCCAATGCTTTCAAATTCCTAATTATTTTAAGTAAATCCGTCTGGGATTTAAAAAATCTAAACACAGCATGTGAAAAACATAAAAGTAATTTGCTGTTCTCTCAAACACCTTACTGGTTCCTAAATTCCATCCACAGGGTCTAAAACTCGGCAGATACCGGCCAGGAATCTTTTTTTTAAATGATTAGATTTCTCACTAGAAACTAGAAGACAGAAGAGAGCTAGATGCCACAAAAAACTTTGGTAAAGCATGGCCCAAGGTTTTCCAAGTCAATACTGAACTGTTGAACACATGCAGGCTTTTGAATTCAACTTGTAATAAATTAAAATAAAAATATGCACAGAGGAAAAATATGCACACAGGTGTTGCCGTGACAACAGTTACATAATAATATACCAGACTGACAAATTCTCGATTTTTTAGAACACTAAATTGTTTTCTTGACATCAAGTTGATGGATAAAAAGCACAAGAAAGGGGCGCCTGGGTGGCTCAGTCAGTTAAGCATCAGACTCTCGGTTTCGGCTCAGGTCATGATCTCAGGCTTCAGAGATTGAGCCCCAAGTCGGGCTCCATAGCAGTGGAGCCCGACTTGGGGCTCAATCTCTCCCTTGACCCCTCCCTCCCACTCTCTCTCTCAAAAAATAAATAAATAAAAGTAAAAAAATAAAAGCCCAGGAAAACATGTCATATGCCCACCGCATGTAAAACATGGAATAAACTGACAATATATTGTTAACTGTTTAAGAAACACAGGTTGAAAAGAGCCATTCTGTATCTTTAGTTCATGTCCTGAATTAATGCCCCTTGAATTTTAAGGTGCACTCCCTAGAAAAGATTCTGATTCAGTGGATCTTTTTTTTTTTTTTTTAAGATTTTATTTATTTATTTGACAGAGAGAGACACAGCGAGAGAGGGAACACAAGCAGGGGGAGTGGGAGAGGGAGAAGCAGGCTCCCCGCGGAGCAGGGAGCCCGATGCGGGGCTCCATCCCAGGACCCTGGGATCATGACCTGAGCTGAAGGCAGAAGCTTAACGACTGAGCCACCCAGGCTCCCCTCAGTGGATCTTGAGATGGGATCTGAGACTAAAGTTTCTAAGAAGCTTCCAGGTGATGCTGGTCAGTAGACAGCACTGAGCACCCCTAAGTAACTTGAATATTGGTCATAAAATTAGCCACCTGGCCTACAAATATGGTGGCATCTAGGACCCAAGAAGTAAGTGTCAATACAACTTCTTCCTAGTACAGGAAAAAAAAAAAAAAGGAAGGTGAGGAGATCAAGGAAGAAGCAAAGGGATACTTGTCATAGTCCAACAGTGCTAAGAACCACAGAATATTGTTACTTGCCCCAACCTAGTAGCTGTTGAGGTCAGATAGAATGTAAACTCCAAGACTGACAGGGTTTTTTTTTTGTTGTTTTGGTTTACTGCAGAATCCTTATGGCCTAGCATACATTAGGTACTCAATAAATGCAATGAATAGGGGCGACTGGGTGGCCCAGTCAGTTAAGCCTCTTGCCTTGGCTCAGGCCATGATTGGGCGGGGGGTCTGGGATTGAGCCCCTCATCTTGCTCCCTGCTCTGCAGGAAGCCTGCTTCTCCCTCTCCCACTCCCCCTGCTTGTGTTCCCTCTCTCGCTGTGTCTCCCTCTGTCAAATAAACAAATAAAATCTTTAAAAATAAATAAATAAAAATGCAATGAATAAATGAGTGAACGGGCAGTATATACAAACACAATCCATACTTACGTCATGACCTAAAAATGTCTGAGAAAAGACTGTGTATAAATGGTTGTGGGCAGCCACAGTTTGATACAAATACCTGGCCCATTCATTGTGCTCCATTCTCCCCCCAAAAGCAAAAAATTCTCCAGACCAATACTTTCCACTTTTATGCCATTTCCCGCAGGCTTATGTTAACTCTTTAGCACTTTGAAAACAATGAAAAAAGGTGGAAGCACAGGGAAAAGAACTCAGAAAAGGCTAAAAAAAACAAAAGAAAAAACCCACGGGGGTGGGAGAAGGGATGGGCAAATAGTTCAGTTCAAGTGAAGGAACATCTTAGGTTGTCAGGAGTTCCACGTTCTTACCTATGATGGTGGCAGGGTTTGGGTTCGGGCTTTTATTAGTTTTGTTACTGTCCAGGGTCACTGGTGGAGTAGTACTTGGCTGAGGAAACTCAGACTAAACAGGGAGCAGGCTCTCAAGCCCACCTTCAGACGCTTTGGGGATTCAAGCTTCGGCCTTACTTCCCCTTTCCCAGGGTCTCCCCGTGCGTGGGGAAAACGCTGCCGCGGCCCAAACACAAGACGATCTGAGCGGCCTCACCGCCGGCTTGAAGCCAAAACCAGGACTTAAGATGGCGGGGAAACACTGAGTGAAGGGCCGGGATAGCGCAAGGAATCTACCCCAAAGAAAAATGGCCTCCGCCCATTTTTCAAGGAGGGCCCAAAACAAAAATGGCGACCAAGGCGGCTACTCAGTCGCTAGGAACGCCGTGAATATGATTGGCAGGTAACGAATCACGGTTACCCATAGTGCTAGACGGCGGAGGCGATCGAGAGAAAAGAAAACTAAAACCCAACGTTTCTGTGGTTCAGAGCACCTTGATACCGGAAAATTACTAGCGCCAAGAATCAGGTATAAAAAAGGTCGGAAAGCAAAGGTGGCTTTCACAATGCTGGACAAACTCTGAAATAGCGATACACATAACTTCCTTTATAATTCTTTCGAATGCTACAGAAAAATAAAAGTTTTGTCCTCAAACGAAGAAGCAGGATGGGTAGATAGTGCCAAAATTACCCACTTTGTGAAGCTAAAGAGTTGGAGGACTCCCGACCTTCCCAAATGCCCCCATCGGAAGGGCAGTGGGCAAAAGCTCTCTGAAAGGGACCAGGACCAGCTCTCACTGAGCATGTCCACTTTCCAACCCGATCCAGGGACGTAGTTATGAGCCATTCCTTTTTTCCTGGTTTTGGAGGCAGGCGTAAAAGAGGGCGGGGAACTGGCGCCAAACAACAAATCAGGCGCCTTGTGATTGGTCAAATCTGGGAGGCCAGAGTCCTGCGGGGAACCGTTGACTACCTTGTCATTCATCCAATAATAGCTCTTAAGCGCGCGCCATAAGGCAGATACTGTGCCCTAACACGTCCATTTGATACTATTTAAATTCTTTAGTTTCTACTCATTTGCTGAGACTGACGCCGAATAAGCTCCGCCCCCGGCTCTTTCCGGTCTCTGGCAAAGGCTTTCTGGACTGAGAACCTCGCTAAAACCCGGAAAAGCGGATTCTCAGCAGCGCTGGCGCCAACCACAGCGCTGCGCATGCTCTGTCTCCAAGGTTCGAGCGCAGGTTGGCCGGACCGGCTGCGGCGGCTGCGTGTGGCTCGGCCTATGGGGCTAGCTGGTGGCGGCGGCCTAGGGAGACTCAGCGGCTGGTGGGCAGGTGAGAGCGCTAGAACCTCAGGTGGGAAAACCTGCTTTCTGCCTGGCCGAAGAGAAGGGAGGTGGGCTTGTTGGTGCCCCTGCCCCCTCTCAGGAAGGTCACTGGTGTCTTCGTTGAAGGATATTTGGGGGCGGGGACAAGGAGGAGTCTGGCTCCTTGGAAAACTAAAGACCTACCCTTAACGTAGCCATAGGCAGTAAATGCTTGCTGAGGGAAGGAATGTGGATGACTAGGAGGTTTTCCAGTAGTGTGGGTACAGTTCCAGGTGTAGACCCTCCTCCCTCTCCCACCTGCGCGGCCACACCGTGGAGGAGATGGAAAAGGTGTTACAGTGAAAGCACCGATTGCACCTGCGCTGCCACCTGCTAGCTGGAACCTGTGATTCGTCGGTCACTCTTTCGCAGGGAGAGGGCACTGTATGCCTGTGTCTGTCTGGGGGGTGAGGGCCACTCTCTGACGTGGAACTGGACGTCAGAACTGTTGTACAGCATGGTTAGTGCCCACCGTGCGAAAGCAGAAGCAGGACGCACAGGACTTTTGACGTCGTGGGAATGGAAATCCTTTTGAGATGAAAACCTCCTGGGTCATACTCATCTTTTCCCCGAATAGGACCATACCCAAATACTGTTGCTGTTACAGAGGCTCTCAATTCTGGCAGTTTCAGTCACTCACTAACCTTGTCAATTTATATTCATATTCATATATATATTTGTGACACTGTGCTGAGTTAGCAGATACAGCAGTGACCAAGACAGATACAGTCCCTGACCACATGGAGCTTATATTCTAGTGATGGGAGAACAAACAATAAACAAGTACACTGATAATGAACAAGATGTTTCCAGATTATCCTAGGTTGGATTCCCTGGGTAGCAGACTCTTAAGGAGGAGATTTGTGGGCAGGACATTTATTAGCAAGGACTCTTTTGGATCTTACCAAGGAATAAAAGAAGCAGGAATTGGCAGATAGAAAAAGTTAAGCTGCAGTGCAGTCCCAAGGGAACTCTGGTGTTGGTTTGTCCCTTCAGAGGTGTCCCACGTTGGAGGGAAGAGCCAGGCCTTTATACATGGGCAGTCGTTGGATGCCTGTTGTCCTGAAAAGACGGTGTGACCTCTGCTGTTTTCAGCCAGGTCAGTCCTGGAAGGGGACTGACAACTGAGGGCTGTCTCAGCAGTCCCAAGACTGGGGAAATAAGCCTTTCATTCTTAAAGGGGACCTCGGTGGCCCATCACAGCATTCACTACAACAGTAGGGCTTTGAAGGTAATGGTGGGATGTATTAGGGAATAATGGGAGTGGGAGAGGGAAGAAACTTTATAGACTGGGTGCTCAGAGAAAGGCTCTCTGGGTAGGTGACATCTGAACTAAGAGCTGAAGCACAAGAATGAGCCACCTTGTAAGACAAGGGGAGGAAGATGCTCCACTTTTTGCTATGCACTGAGAATATAACAGAGAAACAAAAAAAATGGCTGCTACCTTCTGTTACAGTGGGTGGCTGTTACTGGTTTTTATACATACTGACTCCCTACTATAACTAAAGATGGATACATAAAAATAGATGGAGACTAACAGGAAGATAGAGGAGAAACTGAGAAGTCCAGAAGTTTTGAAAAATTAGTCAACTTGGTAAAGACTTTTAATCTCTACAGTGTTGTTTTTTTTTTTTTTGCTCGTATACAGCATTTAATCATGTTTTATTTGGATTTTGCCTTTCTCTTCTTAAGCTTATATTCTCTTTGGGGACAGGAACCATGCCTTATTCATCTTAGTTGTCCCACCACACCCACCCCAGCCCCCACCCAGCCTAATGTCCTGCTAGCACCTAGTAGACACTAAGTAAACATTTGAATAGAATTAATCTCGAACATATTTGAAGTGAAAATTGATAAACCCTAAGTGATAGAAACACTGTTTTGGGATCTGTCTTTACAATATCCCTCAGTTTTATAAATTATAACCCAATATTAGTTGAAGTATTAGATGATAATACACAATTGCTCTGGTCAGACAGGAATCTCCAGAGGTGCCTATTTCTGTTAATTTGTATTAAAGATAATATACTTCCAATAGTAATAGTTGCCATAATTTGAGTGCTTCCCACATACTAGACACTGTACTAAGCAATAAATATATAAGTATATATGTAGTGATCTTCATAACATAGCTGATATTACAAATTATTAAATTGAGGCAGGAGAGAAGTGATTTGCCCAAAATTATAATTAATTTTTGGTGGTTAGAATTGGATTCCCATCATTACTTAATGCCTCTGCTGTTAAGTAACAAAGATATCTGGGGGCTCCTGGGTGGCTCAGTGGGTTAAGTGCCTCACTCTTGGTTTCGGCTCAGGTTGTGATCTCAGGGTCATGAAATCGAGCTCCCCATCGGGCTCTGCGCTCAGCACAGAGTCTGCTTAAGACTCTGTCTCCCTCTACCCCTCCCCCCATGCTCGCTATCTCTCGCTCTCCCCCCCCTAAAAATAAATAAATCTTTTAAAAAAAAGTAACCAACATTTCTGAAAATAGAGCCCACTAGGACTCTATTAACTGTTATCAAAGAAAAAAATTACTAGCCCTGTTTTTGCTGCTTTGCTCTGAGTTTTCCTGTTTCCTTCACAATTAGCTTTCCCGGCTCTCACTGGTAGGAGTTTACCTTTCCTATAACATCCTGAAATCATTACAGATCCACCTCCCCCCCAGTCAAAGTAACCCTAGAGATCTCAAGCTCTTACATGGGAATCGGGGTATTTTTGTTCACATCTAGACTAACTGAAACTGCCCAGAGAAACGGGCCTCCTTTATGGGGACCACTTCCCTTAGTCTGGGCAGGTATTCCAGTCCTCTCCTCTTCTTGCTATACTTTAGATTGGCTCTATTCCTTTTGAAATAACCAAAACAAGAGTAGTAGCTAATAATCACTGAGTCCAAACTAAGTACCAGGTACTGTGCTAACTTCACAACAACCTTGTGATATGGAAGTCATTATTACGCTCATTTTACAGATGATGAAACTGAGGCATAGTGAGTGAGGTTAAGGGACTCATCCAAAGTCACAGCTAGTTGTAAAGTGCTGAGGTGGAGATTGAAAGCTCAGGCAGTAGGATTCCACAGTTCATCCCCTTAATCACACTACACGACAGTGCATTCTTACTAAGATGATTTGCTGTGCTTTACCTTCTGAAAACTGGTAACCAGGACTAGATCCTGGTGGGCCTCTTGTGCTGTACTAAGAAATTTAGATTTCACCTTCTAATCAAAAATATCACGAATGGCTTCTAAGCAGAGCATAAACAATCACATTTGGTTTTTTGCAAGATGGCTGTTAAGTGGGTGGAGTATATTTAGTGAAGAGCAAACTAGAGCAGTGGTTCTCTAACTTTAACTTAAAAAACACAAATTACTGGACCCCACCTTAGAGTTTCTGACTTGGTAGGTCAGAGGCAGCCCAAGAATTTGTATTTCTCATAAGTTGATGATGCTAATGCTACTGGTAAGGGGACCACACTTTGAGAGCCACTGGATTATAAGTAAGGACGTTGTGTGAAGTGATGAGGGTCTGGACTGTGACTGTGGGGAGAGGTTATTTGAGATTGTCATGTCAAATGGCAGGGCTGGGGTACTGATTTGATGAGGAATACAAGGAAAAGGGCAGAGACCACTATATCCAGACTTGAAAGGCTTGGTGGGTAATGCTTTTTTTTTTTTTTTTTTTTTTTAACCAAAACAGTTAATAGAGGTAGAACAGCAGTTTGGGAATGAAAGAGGATTCATATGTATATGAAATGAGTTTAGACTGTTTGTGGGTACAGGTAGAGGTTTACAGTAGCAGTTGGATATGTGGGTTGAAGGTGCAGCCGTCATTAATGGATGTGCTGTAATAGAAGCTTTGGATGTGAATGAGACCACCCAGGGAACGAACACGGGAAGAGACGACCAAGGACAGATCTTTGATAAGGGTGAATAGGTGGATGGAAACCAAGGGGCCATTAAGGGAGACTGACAAGGAACAGACCAGAGAGTCCCAAGTACTTAAGGGAGTTTCAGGAACACATCAAAATGCTTGAGAGATCAAGTAAGGGGAGAGATTGGTGATCTTCACAGTCAGAGCAGTTTCCATGGAGAGTAGAACAAAAGCAGATTAGTTGAGTTTGAAAATGGAAGTGGGAAGTGACTCTAGGAAAAGATTCATTATTTGAAAGGAATCCGATTGTATAGTAGCTGGAAGGGAGACTGGGAAAGGTCTCCTAAAGCAACTTGTTTTGGTTCTTTTCAATGGGGAAAAATGGTCAGGTTTTGTGGAGGAAAAAGACCCATTCATTATAAGTGGGAGGTGGGAGATGTAAGAGAAGGATAGTGGAGTTAGAACCCTTCAGAGACAGCAGGGAAGGAGGTTAAGATGAGAGCTGAGATGGAGCGGTTTTTTCATGTGAGATAGGAAGTTAAGGGTGCTACTACCCAATAGCCATAATTTTTTCTGGACATTCGGTTAGCTGCAGAAACAGAGGTGAAGAGTAAAATAGAGCTCTTGAAAATGATGAAGATAGAAATCGCCTTTTTAGGGATTCAGAGCTAACTAGGGGTACATAGTCACTGCTGTAGCACTAAGGGGCCAGTTTACTGCACATTTAATCTGGAACAAGCTGGCTTTCAGCATGATACCCACTCCCCTTCCCCCACAAACCTCAGCATCAAATGGCAGCCAGGTGTAAAAACAGAAAGGGAATGGAAAGGTTGTAGTGTTGTTTTACAGAGTTTATACTTAAATTAAGTATACTTAAAAGAGAATGCATGAATGCATTTAAGTATAAACTCTGTAAAACAACACTACAACCTTTCTGATAAGCCACAGCCTGCAGTAAGCTGGTTTTCTCTTCCTCATTAGCCCCTAATCACTCATTCACTGTTCACATTTTGAACTGTCGACAATTAGTAAAGCTCCCTTACAAAACTTGTGATGCTTTCAGTATATTATTTATTCATAAAGACGTTGAATTCACGGTA